TATTCAGCAGGATTCTGATGGAAACAGTGTGAACTGGAACCAGGCTCAGGTCAGAGTGGGCGGCTTCATCAAAGAACACCGAGCTACTACAACAGCCAGAAAACCCAGAGCAAAGACACTTTTCCTCCCTCGCTTTTCTCCTCCCGTGACTCCGATTTAAATTCTGCTGCTCTAAATACTGCGTGAAGTAGTAGAATTAGTATGGATGAAGTTATTCCTCACAGACGCACACACTGCAGTTTCTGAGAGAGTCATGGATATTCATTAATAGGCCGGACAGAACCTGTGCATGCATTTTTTTTAAAGAAATTTGCCTCGATTTGTGCCTTGCAGGCTTTGCATAACCAAAATCCCGCAAGCCTACCATTACAAATCTGTAAGCCACAAAACACAAGTACTACTACGCAAGTCTGATTTCACACATCATTCATCGCAGTGTTGTATTTTCTTTGTTTGCACAAGGGGTGCAATAGCAGGCAATGCCATAAACTGTCAATTTTATCTTTCATGCCAACTACTGTAATGGCAGAGCGACAGTTCGAGAGAATCATTGTTTGATAGTAGAGTTTCTGCTATAGTGACTATTTATTTATGTTTTTAATTAGGGGTGTGCAAACCGTTTTCATAATCAACAAGTTATTGTTAAGACATCACAGTATAATTAGTCTGCGTCATGTCCACCAAACCATGATCAGATACATTGGTTTATGGACCTAAGTTTAGCCCCTTCAAATACAGGACAACTGAAATATAAAGTTATAAATAAAATAAGGTGATAAAGGTCAATAAAAATATGCATGTTCGTATGGCATATAGCGTATGTAAACATACAGTACAGGTACGCATAAAGGCACTGCGCATATGCACAAGGTATTTTTAAAAAGTGACATGTAGCCAAGTACGGTGTCCCATACTCGGAATTTGTGCTCTGCATTTCACCCATCCAAGTGCACACACACAGCAGTGAGTAGTACACACACACACACACACACACACACACACACACACCTACCTAGAGCAGTGGGCAGCCATGACTTGATGAATCTGATTGAGAATGTTTACATGCTTCATTTGTTCCTGTTGATCGGATCAAGTCTACACCACCCCTTTAAATCAGACTGAACTTTAATCCGAATTGAGCTCAGTTGGGTCACCTGAACTATTTACATGAAGGCTTTTCAATCTGATTCAATCCAATTGTAAACTGATATTTTTCCGTTTTTGTTTCTTGTAATTGCTCAAAAAACGGTAATTGTTAGAATTTATTTGTTGTTAAATGTTCAACTCACAAGTTTTCTCAGTAGTCTTCTGTACTGTCTGTTATTTCTATAGTATTGTATTGGCTCAGACTCTATGTGGGGCATTTGCCGACAATGACCTTGTCAGCCATCTGGAAATTTCTATACAAACCGGTTTGCCCCTCCTTTCAACACAATATTACTGCTGCTCTGTTGTGCCCAAATTTGCCACACAGGGCTTGAGGATTCATCGTCCCTCAGTTCTTAATAGTCTTGCTGTAGAGGCCACTTTTCTCCACTGTCATATCATTTCCAAGGATACGGCCGTCAGGGGCACTGGCTTTCATAAACGCAATCATGCACACAGTTTAACACGTCTTCACTAGTCAGAGCTATAAACACACACACACACACACACATTCTTGGGCGTAGTTCGGACGGATGGTTTAATTAACAGTAAGCGATGATTTATTACATAGGAGATGTCCTCATCTCCAGCACGGAGGCATAACCGCGTCCCCAGACGCTAATTCAGATGGGCGTAATGCGGACTCCAGCCACACGTCTGCTCCTGTGGCTGCAGGGTTACGGGTCCAGAGACAGATAAGTGATTGCAGAGGAACAGAGCTAGGTGTGGAGTGAAGACACAAAGACGTACGGCGACTGGTCTTCAGTATTCCTTATGAAGCTGGAGTAGAGAACAGAAGGGGGATGGAAGGGGAAGTTCAAAGAAGGTGACAGACAGAGAGAGACAAAACAGG